CTTTCCCTAATTGGATATTATACGCTCAAATGAGCATCATTTCCCCGAGATTTCCAATACTCCCATAATGCGTTACAAAAGAGAATTTTGTGATATGGTACAAAAGATAATCCCATTACTAGTACGTATTCTAGATGGTCAGATCACATCAGAACAAAAAGAAAAAAAAAATTGAACAAAAAAGTATGTGAAATTAACGGAATCTAATGAAATTAATGGCCGGGTACAATTTTGTACCTCGCCAAGAATTCTCCTAATTTTGAATCATAGTTCTAAGGGGAATAGGACGGCTAAAGACCATTACTAAATTGTCAAACATAGTTAATGGGGCATTTTGGTATTAAGAAGGGTGGGCTAGAAAAATTATAACTTGAAAAGAGGTCGCGGGTCTCTGTCTTTTCACTAGATGACCGTCAAAGTAGAAAAATAGAGAAACATTGAGCTAATTTGTTCATAAGATGGAAAAATATTATTGGTTAGAGATCCTGAGCTGCTGGCAAGTCTTTGCTTCAAGAGAAAACACTTGTATACAACATTCTCTGAGACATCAGACTGCAAACTGCAAGATGAGACGTACGTCTCTGATTTTAGCCTTTGAAAGTACGACAACTGTAATGAATGATAAAGGGAGGGAAAAAAAGGCATTCATATTGAAAAATCTAGTTTTATCATGTAACAGATTAGCGTGAGAACAAAATTAATGCGTCCTCTTTGGATCAAGGTAAATACCGGTGTACTCGGAAAATACACAAACATGTGGAGTTGGCAGCAATAGCGGCCATGTATACTTCTGTAATTTGAGTTTTGAGAAGCCGAAAAGAAGAGCTAATGAGGGAGCATCAGACCAATGTATCTGATGGTGGCAGAAGAATCTTATGGAAGTCTGGAGCAGTCTGGTTCATTATTCTTCACTCATAGCAACTGGCTTAGAATGCCTTGCACTCTCACAACCTGGGCAGTTGTGCAAGCTCTCATGAATATAAATGTCGCAGTCGAGGCAAAATTGATGCTTGCATTTTGGGCATGAAACACGGGGACCAGGTTTATTTCCTGTGCACAAAATAGTTGAACAAAATTAATTGGATAAGACATTAGGAATTTTCAACCGGGAGAAGGTATCTCATACACACTCCAAAAAAAAAAAAAAAAAAAAAAAAATCTATATAAAGGCATAACTTAGGGGCACGGCATAATAGTATGTGGAAGTACATTTTGCCCGGTGCCGACAAGGTCAACATTAAAGAGAAAGCAGCCCATTATAGTGAGTTTGTATACTATCATTCCTCATTGGATGTTTTTTTTTTTTGTTGCTATTATCACTGAATGTCATGTTTGAAGCTGAAGACACTGGGGAGTACTCGTATTGCCTGACGTCTTGGTTACTACCATAGAAAAATCTAATTTTGTTTTCTAAATGCATCAAGGGAAACAGAAGAAATGTGTTTCCTTTTTGGAGCATGGATGTCAACTAATCACATATCCCTTTTTTATGTCCTCAACCTCTGGCTTCAAATAGTAAAGCATTGGAAAAGTGAGAACATAGCCAATATATATATATATCTAACAAGAAACACCGAGTATAGCAGCTGGAAACTTAATTTTTTGTTTACCAAGTATAGCAGCTTACCAAAACCAAGGAGACTCTGTTGGCAGCCAAAACAAGCTTTCGATAATTTTCTATGTGGATCACTTAGTAGTGATGTAGACATCTCATCAAACGGTACTATCGGAAAGAGATGATGATAAGATCTTGCCAAATGGGGTGAAGAAATGAGCGTCAATCCACAAGTTTGACACTCTGTAGGTAGCTCACAAACACGCGCCTTGCATCTAGGACAAGTGTATCCACCTCCTGCCTTTGCTTCCTTATGACATGAACAGATTGCAATAGAGCTCTCTGCTGCTCTTTGTGGGAAGCCCATCTTGATCAAATTAGCAATTGCATACTCAGCTATTGCTGGAGGTGGGGGTGCATGCTCGAGTATCAATTCTTTGAAGTGAGACTGCATGATAACAAACAAATCAACTTCTTATTAACAAAACTAGACAAAAGATTGCTTGAAACCATGTAGGAGCATTAGACAATATTCCTTGCTAAGCACTCCCTCCGATGTTCCTAAGGCTTTGTGAAGAAAAAGAACATTCAGGAAAGGTATGACAATGTGGATATCAGTTTCTCATTCTAGATTATACTGGCTAAGAAGAAGACGCCACCAAGATGGTAAAAATGTACCAATACCGATATAGTGTAGTTATGGCTGTTATTAACACCCGATAGTTAGTACAACTCACCTCATCCAACGCAACGGAGTATGAGCCACCAGTTTCTTGGCAGAGATGTTTGCATATAAAAATTTCTGCTGAGAGCCCAATAACTGAACACCTTATTTTAGATTTCTTACATTTCTGGATGGTCTCCATTATATCACCTGGATCACACGTACTTAGGGCCGAATAAAAGATAAGAACTTCACGGTGGCCATATGATGGAATCTGATTTAGATAGTCATGAACAAGATCCAGAGCGTTCTGTATAGAAGATTCACCGGAGCATTCCAATTTACCCATCAAAGATTTCACATGAGACTCTGGACTGCCACCGAGATCCGTTAAGCAATGAGCAACGCCATCTTTAATAGTCACTAGGCCAACTTGACTAAGCGGATTCTGGTCAAAGAACTCTCTAATGAAAGCCTCAACATGCTTTGCCACTACAGCCATTCGACTTGGCCGGAAATCCATCTCCGCAGCCGCCTAATGACATCAAACGAAAACTAACTAAACAATTAACAAGTGCAAATTACACACATAATAAACACACAATGCTCAAACTAAATTGCAATAACTTCTGATCCATGTTTCCAATCCATTTGATCTTAATTCTTAATTCTCACACGATGAAGATTCCCTCAGGTTTTAGCATCATTTACACCTAAAATATAACACCACCTATGCTTGAACTAGTTTTCAAAGTTTATTACTTCACAAATTTGTCATAAAAACAACGAAAAGGAACCGACTTTCCATCACCACTTAGCTACTAAACATTCAAGACAATCTTAATACGCTTACATTAATCCAAAGATACCAAAGATACAATTGATCCCCAATATCAAATCGACAAAAAAACACAGACCCATTATTCAGAAACAGAAATTGTTTGTTTACCTTGGAGAGATCAATGACAAGGAAGAGGTAGCGAATGAGGCCCTTCTGGATTCGAACGGCGGAAGCGGAGCGAAGACGGCGGCGATACTGGGCATGGTAAAAGGTCTTGTTATCGATGGGTCGGAGAAGACCCGACTCGTCCTCTTGAAGAGATTCCCAGGACCTCTCGTCGGCGTAGGTTCTCTCCCAGGCCTCAAGGCCTCGACCATTTCCGTCGTCGTCTTCGTCGTCGTCGTCGTCCTCTGCTGCTCCGTTCAGTCTTCTTTCCTCGCCATTGTTGTTCATGTTCCTTCACTTTGAGACCTAAAAAAAAAAAATGACAACAACAACAACAACAAATGGTGATGAAGAGCAATAAGGGTGGCTAATTAAGCAGAATTAGCCACGGCATAATAAGATTTCTTTTAAGGGAGAAAAAGAGAAATATGTCAAGACTTGAGATGAATTAAAATTAATAGGTTAATAGTTTACATAAGTTAATAAATAGGCTAAATTACTGTTTTCGTCCATAACTTGTCTGGTTATGAACCATAACTTGACAAGTTATTCACGGTTTTTGTCCATAACTTGTCTGACAATAGACCATAACTTGACAAGTTATAATTTATCTGGTTATGAACCATAACTTGACAAGTTATGACATATTAATTTCTATAACTAAAAATTGACCTATATATTTTCTTAAGCTTTTTATATTGATCTATTTTCTACTATTTACGTGGCTTTGTTTGATTATCCAAGGTTCTTAAGCAATTCTCCGGCTATTTTTTATGAACACCTCTGAACTTTTCAAATTTAGTAATTTAGCCTTAAATTTTTTTTTTTTTGGCAATCAGCACCTCGAATATATAGTTTTTGGTACTTTCAACCTTTGTTGTTCAAATTTATTAAAATTTTAACTGTTTTTTGCACTTAACTTGCAAATGATAGCCTAATAAGAGTATTAATGTTCATTTTTGTTAGTTTCAATACAAATACATTTAAAAAGTTGGAACTTAATTTCATTATAACTTAAACTTTAATCTAAATTTTAACATGAAATGTTATTAATACTAAATAAAAATATCATCAATATGCTTCTTAAGTTGTCACTTGTAAGTTTGGCGCAAAAAAAGCATAAAAATTTAGTGAATTTGAGCAACAGGAACTAAAAGTGCCAAAAATTAAAAATTCTAGATGTTGATTGCTAAGAAAAAAAGTTTAAGGACTAAAATTTTAAATTCAAAAAGCTCAAAAGGTGTTCGTACAAAATAGCCGCAATTCTCCACTTCTCTAGTCCCGACTGAAAATAACTATTTGGCATTATTAGCCTTTGTATTGTTTTAATGTTTGCATCATTGGTCTTTTTTAATGTCTTGTTTATTTATTAAGTGACAATTTAATCCATTTTTATATAATTTTAAGGGTTTTTTTTAATAAATGGATAATTTTTTTTTTATTAATTTAGTAGTCAATTACTAACTTAGCATTCTATCATCGATTAATTTTAACTCATCATTGATTACCTCAATGATTATTTATTAGTAACTAAACAAAATTAGTTAGTAATAAATTATTTTTAATAAATAAATTATAAATTTATTAATGATAAATTATTAATAAATTAATAATAAATCAATTAGTGATTAGTGATCATTAGTTGATTACGGTAGAAAAATTGCTATTTTTTATTAGAAAAACAATTATTTTCCTAAAATTAAAAAGTTCAGTCATTGGTCTGAAAGTTTTCTAGACATTATTTAAAAATACGATAAAAAATGGTTATTCACCTAATTTTCCCTAACAAATTTCATTGCTCCATCGCCGCGACCCGCTCCCCAGAGATCGCGGGCCCAATTTTTTAAGGACTTAGTTGTCTTGGTTAACACAGCTAGACAAAGGTGGAGAAAATTTGCAATGTCTGTGATTTAGGAGATAAATTAGAGCTTGTAGTTGCAGAGAGAAAATCAATCGAGAAAGTGCAATCTCTCCTCGAATAAACATGACTATTGACATTGCTATTGAGAGTTTACTTTTCCCAAACCTCGCATTATTGTATCTTTAAAAGGCTAGATTCTTAAGGCTTGTTTTTTTACCGTTTTTGAGTTAGGTGATTTGAGTGTAAATCTTGAATTGAGTTTGAGTTATAACTTGAGTTAAAATTATAATTTGAGTTTGTATTTAGTTGTGTACATTTGAGTTATGGTTTGAGATAAGAATATTTTTGAAGTTGTGTTTGAGTGAGTTAAAACTTGAATTTGTATTTAGATGTGACCCCGTTCATTTCGCTGATTCGAGTTTAGAATTCTAGTTTTGCTACAGTAAAAAGCTTTCAGAAACAGTCACATCCAACTTTTTTGCTACAGTAAAAAGCTCTCACACAATATCACATCTCAACTCGAATTAAAAACTCGAATTAACAAACCGAACGGGCCATAAAAACTCAATGCTGATGGAAAATTTTAATAGGGTATATAGGTGGGGTTTTATTCGTCTTTTCGTTGACAACGCATAGAAAAAAAATCATCTCTATTAGAATTAAAACGAAAAAGTTATAGCATTTTTAAGAATAAAAAAAATATTGTTCATTAAGTTTGAGTTCGAGTTTCTGAACTCAAGTTGAAGGGAAAACTTGAACTCGAGTTTTAATCCCAAACTCGAGTTCAAACTTAAAAGAACATGAACTTGAATAAAGTTGTAACTTGAGTTGCTTTTTTTGAGTTTTTAACTCAAAAAATGGGCTGCTTAAAGAAATTTACTTTCAAGTTTCACTTACAAAATTTGGTCAAGTTTCTTATAGCAAACTAATCAGATTCAACTAAACTCTCTGGCTGTGTTTAGAATTGATTCCGTTTTTATTTTTTACATTTTTTGAGAAATAAAAAATAAAAACGTTTTCAAAACGGTGTTTGGCACAATAAAGACAAAAAATGAAAATGAAAACGAATTTTTGATTTAGTGTAAAATGAGAAACAAATGAAAAACGACTTTTAGTCGTTTTTATTTTTTGTTTTCGTTTTCTCCTCTCTCGAGTAGAGAGAGAAAGAGAGACATTAATGATTTTTTTATACTGAAAACAATCTCTTAATAAAATTAACAAACACATTTTTAAAAATAATTTATGTTTAAGATTAAAAACATTTTTATTTTTATTTTCATATAAAAAATAAAATTATTTTAAAACGAGTTTCAAACGCGCCCTTTGTATTTAATCAAGAGGATGATCAAACCTCAGAGGTATTCTTTGAAACATGATTGATGCATACAAGCCACAAAGTGTTTGGTAAGTCTCTCTGTCTCACTACCAAGTACCAAAGCCAAGGTATTCTTACTCCCCCGGGGCCGATACACCATGCTTGAGCTTCTCCTTCCTCAGCTTCTTCATCGATACCGGTTTCTTCTTTCGTGGTGGAAGACTCTTCTGTGCGTACGTGTATAGCGCGTAGTTGCCAACCAGAAAGATGAGCAATAGTCCTGAAACAATAAGCAGGACGATCGATCGCGCATTAAACCCATTGGCTTCAGCATTCTTGAACAAAGTTCCCTGTTCAATGAGAAATCCAACCATGTGTCGGTGCACACGACAAAGAGAACACCATTAATGGTTTAGAATCTAGATGCTAGACAATATGCACAGCGAAAAGGTCATATCTCGAAAACATTTGAAATGTAGTTCTAGATATATTTGTTAGAATATATTTTATGTGAATTTTCATAAATAATAATTCACTCTATTATGAGCTAAAGTATGTTGTAGATAACATTGTTATTGAAAATTTAATTATACATGTATATGAAATATCAATCTATAATAAGATGAGTACACAGTTTATTAACTAACTTGAGCCCTATAAACTCTTTTTTCCGTAAGTACTTTAATCATCCCATTAGATCAAAAAACCTCACTAGTATAATTTAGGGAGAAAGAAAGAAATAGTCCCAGACTTAAGATGAATTAAAATTAATAGGTCAATAGTTTACATAAGTTAATAAATAGGCTAAATTACTGTTTTCGTCCATAACTTGTCTGATTATGAACCATAACTTGATAAATTTGTCCATAACTTATCTGATTATGAATCATAACTTGATAAGTTATGACCTATTAATTTTTATAACTAAAAAATGACCTATATACTTTCTTAAGCTTTTTATATTGACATATTTTCTACTATTTCCCTATAATTTATGAAGCTCAATAGGCCCAAACCAATTAAGCCCATTATGTTGATAAGTTAAACACTTTATATATAAATGTCAGGGGCTTTGTATTTGTGGGGTGTGTGTGGTCATTTTTTTGTGGGGCATTATGTGTGTGTAGAGGCTATTGGAGAGGAGAATGTATTACTCTCATGCCCGTTCTACCGGCGACTTTTGACAATTTAATGGCGACGCCAACACTTCTGATAGGTAACCCATAAACCTATTGTTTCTGATATGTCTTAGACACTAAATATGCATGTATTATTTTTAACAATTGGTATCAGAACAATTTATTTTAGTGTTGAGACTGGCAATTTTTTGGTTGTTATTCGTGGGTGTGAAGATTCAGTTTCTAAACCTGTTGATTATATGCTCAAACCATTGTTGTATTGAGCTTATGGACGTTTGAAAATATGTTTGGTTGCTAGTTTGATGATGTTTCACATTGATTTAGCCACTTATCTCTTTTGTTTTTTGAATTCAGATTTTTGGTGGGTATGAACCCTAATTTTTCAAATTAAAATTTTGCTCAAAATAAATGTAGATCGAAGCTTCAAACATTAAATATATGTTGTGGGTGATAATTCTCTTGAGTTTCGTAAGTCTATTTGGCCAATATATCACCGGTTTGAAGCTTTCAATACGGTCAAATAAGGGTTTTCATTTTCATGGAAACTTTTAGTGTTATTTGGGACAATTGATGTTATGGATTAAAAGAGGACGAAATTGGGAGAAAAACCCATCTTGAATCGTCAAAAATGGAGTTCCGGAGGCTCAGAAATGTCTGGGTGGGGTCACGATTCGCACCAGGTCGAGTTACAGAGTATGGAGATCAGGGATGACTAAAAACGACAATGTATTTTATTTTGCGTAAGAAACGACGGGTCGTTTCATAGTCGACAGATTTATGTCGTTTTTTAGTTTCCAAAACTACATGTCATTTTTTCGCCTAAAATTTTTTTAAAAAAATAGTTTTGACCAAACTTTGACCAGATCGTACGGACAATTTGAACACTATTTTCGCCGTTACGCTTTTTTTTTTCATCTCTTACACACTAAAATGATTTATTTTGAGTTTGGGCCACCATTAAATCATGTTGATATTCTTTATGGGTGACTAATTCTCACAATTTTTTAAACAAAATTTTCCTGAGCATTTTGTATACAATTTGTTTGATGAATGAATGTCATAAATTTTTATTATATTTTTGTTTTTATATGGCATATTTAATTGTGAAAATTTGACAATACTGAGTGTTTATGTACTCGCGTGTCGTAAGTTTAAACATGTCAAATTGTCTGGGTTGTTCCGTAACGAAGCTCTCCCACAAAATTTTATATTTCCTTTTGAGAGACTTTTAGACGCACAACACTCCTTACATGGATGCACATGAGCTACCAGAAAATATTTTTTATTTGACTATGTGTTAATTATAACGATTTTTTTAATATATTTTATATGAAATTTTAATTCTCACTATTTTAAGACCTAAAATTTGGAGCATATTTATTATTCTATATAACATGGTCATATTTTATTTATTTCTCCCAATTAATTTGATATTCGGATAAATAAAATTTAGACATATAATATTGATTTTTTGTTCAAATTTTAAAATGCCTATTTTGTGTTTAATGTCTTAATGCCGAATCATTGTTTGAAAAGGTATACATAGTCTCTTTTGTGTTAAAGTGAGAATGAAAATTTTATTAAAACCTCACGTGCTATTATAAAGCTTAAGTTGTAAATTTATCCATATCTTGTTGTTATTGTTATTATTATTTGATATCTTATTTTATGTGAGTATTATGTTTTTTTATTATACTATCCAAGGAAGGGAAAATTAGAAATATTTATTTGTGGATTAACATAATCACTAAACTCACATACCATTATCAAACAATAAATTGTGGGATTATATGGATAAACTTAATTTGTTGATTATGTTGCGAAAGTCCATACGGGTGATAAAATTATCTTGTCGATAGTTTTATTACTTGGTAGGATGGTTGAGTATCTCGCTTGAAGTTTAAGCTTGTCATATTTATCCATGTTCTATCTATTCGTTTATTATTTAACATTTTGTATTATATGAGTATTTATTGTTATTGATTATGCAGTCCAAGAAGGAGAATATTAGAAATTATATATGGACTTGCATAATCACTAAACTCATATTATGGTCAAATGATAAATTGGAGTATTAAGAATAAAGTAATGTATTTATCATATTGTTAAGATCCATACGGACAATTAACTTATCCTGTTAATAATTAATTGTTTAGTAAGATGTTTAGACTGTTGAAGGAAGTTTATTGAATGTCATGAACCGCATAATCTTTACTATCTTGTCAGTGGTAGATTCATGCATTTAGTTGTGATGTTTGATGAATTGTCCTTACCTGTGAAGGAGTCCTATTTTGCTCAAAGGACTCTACTATGCAATGATCATGTTGGCTTGGATCATTGGAAGGCTAAGTAAATGGCAAATTGCATGATCTTGTTTTTACATGCCTTTTGTTAGTTGCCCCTGTTATTTTCTTTAGCCTTGAGCAATCCTTGTATCTCTGCTATCTTGACACTAAATGTGACAAGCCATTATATATATGGTATGGATCACTCATGATAAATCTGTTAATAATGAAAAGGACATAGGCTTAAGGGTGGATATGTTTTCTAACTCCACTAATGTGTTGAGAAACTCTATGATGAGTGGGAATGTATAGAAAACATCGAGGTGATAGTACTTGAATTTGGATGAGATAGTCACTGAAATTAGGTTTATGGAAAACGTTGTTGATAGATGCATATGCATAAGATCAGTAGGAACAGTTGCACATTTCTAGTTTTTTTATGTTGGTGACAACTTGCTCGCATTTAATGATTTTGACATGTTTGTTGAGACAAATAGCATGATGCCAAGTCATTGTGGTTTGAGAATCTTAGAAAAACCTCTTATGTTATAATTATACAGGTTCTTTGTGACAATGGTAGTGATATAAGAGATATCAGATTAAATTGTCCTTTATGATTTTGTGTTTAGCAGCCTGATGTATGCTCAAGTATGCACACACCTTATTGTTGTGTTTGTTATTGACGTGCATATTTGGTATTTGAGTGATCATTATTGTTATTACATTTTAGAAATTAGAGTACTCAAAAAACCGAATTAACTGGAAATGAAGTATCAGATAGTTGTGTATCAGCAAACTAACACTTTTGTTTTAGTTGGATCTTGTGACGCCGATTATGCATGCTGCATAGATGATAGAATATCCATATTTGGATATGTCTTTCATGATAGGAGGAGCTACTTTGTTGAAAAGTATCAAGTAGACACTAGTAGCATATCTTTGACCGTGATACAGAATATGTGGTGTGTTATGAGGCTGTTTTGTGTGAGATGGTTGTGGAACTTTGTTTCTAAAGCATTAGGAGTAGTTTAACTCCATTTTTGGACCGTTGAAACCATGTTGTGAAAGTTTCACCATAGTATCTTGATCCTAGAACACGAAGCATTTCTCGCTAAAATGTATTGATAACGTGTTCTATTTTTGTAAAAGAGAAAGTGTTAACTTTATTGTTATTGAAACACGCGTACAAACAACACGTTGGCAGATTCACTCAACAGTAAGAATCGACTAGAAAAACAAAATCACAAACATAATTCAGCTTCAGCACTTGCAAATTAAGACGACCAAGTTCCTTTCATTTTCCAAAAATTTCTCGACAACCAAACGGAATTCACAGAATTCTATGAAAGAGCGTACCGTGGGGTCGAAGGAGGGTGGGATTTTGTCGGTGAAGATGATGGGATCGTCCATGTCCATCGTGGAAACTCAAAGAGCAATTAACCGGATCAAAAGCTGATGCAAGGAGCTGTATCTCGTCGCTTACGATCAAAACCACATGAATCAGAGGAACAGAAAAAAAAAATGGCAATTGCTGGTGAAGGCAAGGAAAAGAGTTGATAGACTGTATGATACTACCTTCTTTGATGCAAAAGTAGTGCCGTTTTTTGCTTTGGAATCTCCGTGTGTTTTTATACTACTTTTTTTGTCTGTAAGAAGTGAAGTACAGGTGCTTAGGCAAAACTCTCTACGTTTTCTTAAATGAGATACGTACGTGTCACGCAAAAGCATGGATGATTGGGAGGAAAAAAAAATTGTAATTCGCCCACCGTGGGGCTCGAACCCACGACCACAAGGTTAAGAGCCTTGCGCTCTACCAACTGAGCTAGACGGGCTTATTGGACTTAGAACTTTGGGTTTTTAAGTAATACTATTTTTATCTAACCTCTTAAGAACTTTTTAATATCACATCCGTCACCCCTGAACTGGATCTATTTATACATTCACCCACCCTCGGTTTTTAAAAAGTTAAAAGGCTGAATAGCAACCACTATCAAGCATCAACTTTGCTGTACTGGACTTACCTCTAAACCACCACTTGCTTGAAAGAAAATGAAGAAAAATCAATCGTTTGGTTTGTTTAATATCTATCCGGCTTTTTTCTTTCCCAAGGAAAAGTATCTATCCGCATAACGGGCTTAAAACATGTTCTTAAATTCGTTAACAGAATTTTTCTGACGATCAGACAATATAATCATCCAACTAGGTGTCTCCTCTGAGGAGAAGGCACTGCAGATATATTGCAACACAGTTTACAAAAAGTGTTGCCAATGTTTTTACATCAAAATCCCCACCACAGGAGTCAATGAGACAGGCATCAACATGGTAAGAACATAACGGAGCAAAATCAACCATCCACAACATCTCATATTTGAGGAGATCCCAGTTGGCCTAAAAAGTTACACGTTGACAGACGAGACCGCGATGAGCTGCCGACGGCAAGTTCTTTCTGCTGATACCTGGAAAATGGGAGACAATTTGCAAGGGAAACCGCACGTTCCTCAGTCTTCCATTTCGGAATCCAGAACGTGGAGGATGCTCAGAGCTGAAGAACCAAGGTGCATGCCTCGAACAATCCCTCCATAGCCAACCTCAATCCTGTGGCACAAGAGTAAGATAGAATCCCACAACGCGGTTCTTCCCTAAAATTAAAATCACAACGGTTGTCATTTCAATAAATACAAGGTACTACTTTTCCAGGGATTTGACGCGTGGCAATTAGTAACAAAATAATAATTTGCCTACCTGGCGAGAAAATTGCAACTTCTTATCCCAGTACAAGGCGAAAATCGGGGGGCTTTGCCTTCCAACAGCAAGTACACAAGCACCTGGGTGAAGAACAGAAGGGACACCTGATATGACGGCAATGTACTTCTCAGGGAACCTATCCTTTGGAGGTAGGACCCCCAAGAACAAGGGATTTTTGCTAGAGTGTGCTCCAGCATAAGATGTGGGATCTACATGTAGCATCCACTTTGGGTGCTCTAGAAAAGCACAAAATAAATACAAGAGCAAGTGAGAATCGCTAGGCAGCTCTGAGGTCCATTTATTGTTCCTTTTATTATAAACCTCTCCGTTTCCAAGATACTCAAAATTCTTCACGCAGGTTCCTTCGGCGAGTTCTGTGAAACTCCGCAGGCAGGTAACCAGATTATGTTAGACAGGAGATATGGGGAAATTGTTATTACAGCAATATAAATAGAACTACATAAATACATTATGTATCATCCAATGTCAACTACCTCTAATCCTTTGTACGGTATAATCTGCGCTGACACTGCTTTGGGGTAGCAAACCTTTAACCCATTCCCCTTTCATTAATGCTTGAAGCTTCTGGTGTTCAGAGATGGCATCCACACACTCCTGCATTACAGGGACTAAGGGATTCTGCTGGAGTGATTGTTGTACACCGGCTTGAGGCAACATAGCTGCGTTTTATGGAAAAAACCCCAAAGTAGATCTTTAGCAAAGATCACTGACTTCAAATAAGTCCAGAAAAATAAAAAATGGAATAAATAGTTAATACGTGTGGAAGCATCAAGAGCCTGAATTAGAGTAGCTCGTAGCTGATGCAGAAGTCCATCTTCGTCAAGAGTGACAGTTGGCTGCCATTCCTTACTCCTATCAATTGGCAACAGAGTAGCAGTTCCGCTAGCTGGTAAATCACTTCCCACTTGACTAATTGTGATTGATATACCAAGTTTAGCAGCTGCTTGCATCACCTATATGAAGATAGGAATTCTACAATCCTTAAACCATGAAATAGAACATAAATGCACAAGATCTTACTAAATAATCACATTAGATTTCAGCTTTGGCAATAACCATCTACTATATTTCTGCTATACGGTGACACTGCATGTCTGTTTATACTATTGACCTAATATTAACGAACCAGGTCAGTAGTCTACATCATTTTGATGCTTGCAGTCATTACTCCATAGTAACTGTGAACTGTCCATTTACCTCTGAGTTGCTGGAATCTCAGGCTTTGCCCTCAGAACCAAAAAAATAGGGCTAAAGAGAATGCATCCCCATTTATATCCAAACTGTCATAATTGGGTAATGTTTTGGAAAGGTCCCAAATGTCCCGGTTTGAATTTATATGCCCCAAAATAAGAATAAAGAATTTTGTGAACAACTCAAACTCAACACCGAATTCAATATGCAATCTACAAATAAAACTTATTTAATTTGATATTTCTTCCATGAAACATCACATACACTTCTACAAAATAACGTTTTGTAGAATATTCCCACCTTGAGTGTGCAATAAGTCTTCATACTCTATATGCTACCCTATAAAAATCCTTTAAGGTTTTTTAGGAAGAATATTTAATAAAGAAAGCACTGAATTGCATATTTAGTGGAATCACTGTACATATTTCCAAAATTGAATGGATCAAAAGTAATTGAGGACCAATTATTTAGGTAACACTGTTGACGACATACCTGAATATGACTGGTTTCAATCTTGCTAAGAAGAGGATTAAGCAAAACCGAAGAAAACCATTGCCTAAGGCGATCACGCCATTGCTCAATTTGAGGATAGATGCCCAAATGCTCAAATGCAGTAATAGATTCTTCCATGGACATAGGTGGAGGAAGTTCGCCCTCTCCTTTCTTAGGTGGAGTACTGAACTTCTGGGAACCTGGGGACATCCTCACGGGCCTCAATGGTGTACTCCTTGTAGTTCCAGAAGTATTAGCTGAAGTGCTAATTGTGTTTGGACTGGTGACACCAAAGCTTCTGATGGTGGGAGGCGGAGTAGCCAATTTTGCTGCTGTCTCAGTAATTTTCTCATCTACTTCTGCCAAAAATTGTTCAAGCTTTTCTTCTGATGTTATCTCTTTTGTAGATACTCTCTTACTTGACCAAGGTGTCGAGACCACCGAATCCAAACCTGGTGAATTCTGCACCGAAGACAAAGGTGAGACAGATCCTGGAACTAGATACAAAGAAGATGAATTACTCGGAGATTTGGAAGGGCTGCTGATTGGACGCATCTTATTTCCCCCACTAGAGTTCAACTTCTCTGCGTTGATACGAGAAGTTCGATTGGAACTGGGTATTGGCTGATGAAGTGGAACAAGAACATCTGAAGGAGAACATATAGAGTGGGGTTTAGACTTGGGAGGTTTTTTCGAAGAATCGGATGCAGTTACTTCAACCTTTGGCTTTATCCCCAAAAGCCCTAATTGCCGATTTGTAAGCCGCACTTGATCCTTTGTTTCTTTAGAGGACAAAGAAGCTGGAACACCAACACTATTTCTTGCTCTACGCAACGATATGGTTCTGAAGAGTGCGAATGTAGCGCCAACAAATACTAGGCCCAGGATTGTCTCTATCACTTTGACAAACAAATCTGAAGTACATACAGAAAAATTTGTAGTAATAAGCTAAGAGCTACAAAAATGGGAGTGGTCAGGTCAAACCAATGATATGACTGCAAGTTGAATTTTGATAACTTACAAGCTGTCTCTTGGGGAAATTTTTTAAGCTTCAGATTGCTAACGAACCCATGTTCCCTTTAACAAAACAAGGCAAACAGTCAGAAATATAATACAAAAACTATGAGCATAAACATCTGAAAACATATAATATGATTGTAGTTTGAAATCCTTGTTAGAAAGGTACCGAAAAATAGATAACCAGCGCCTATGAATAACTTTTCTTTCTTTTTTTTCCCCCTTCTCTTAGAAAAAAGCTTAAGAATTCTGCATTCTTAGTTTGTTCAAGTCCTTCTAAGTTTCATATCCCTATTATGTCCTACGAATCAATGAAAAAGAAAAATTTTCTCTCAATGCCCCGATTTTTTTTTGCCCCCTTCGAGAGTCAAGCAAGACCCTTGCAATCTTTCATCTCTTAAACCCTAGCAAAACCCTAAGGCACAGTCTACATTTCACTTCAAATAGCTGATCTTCTCGAACGAAATTACAAATATCCACATATATAATGTACATAAAAAATAAAAATAAGAACTCTCATTTCTGTACATATTAACTACAGTTGAGCTACAAAGAGTTGAATGAAACCCTAGTTTGCGAAATTGAGAGAGAGAGAGAGAGAGGAAATGGAACCTGGAAAAGATGGCGAGGAGAGCGAAAGCGGAGGCGGAGGAGAGAGAGGAGATGCGGAGGAGAGTGGAATTGGAAGGGTGGAGACTGTTCGCGGTAAGGGCGGCGGAGAAGGCTGGGTTCTGGTACACCGCGAACTTCGACGGCTTCACCGGCGGCGAACCCTTCTCCCTCGCACCTCCTTCCATGGCCGTCGTTACAGGAGCTTTGAGGAGAGAAATGTTAGAACATCGGCCAAAGATAAGATATTATGGTCAATAACTCTGTCTCTACTTCACAATCAGTTACAGACTGCACAGTTTGCCTCCTCCGAACATCTTCAAAAAATTGAAAATCTCGCTAGACTGCGTCGATTTGATTTGCAAAACTACGCCATTTATTTTATTTAAACGACAATGAACATGAAAACGGCATCCACATGGGAAAAAAACAAGAAAACGACAACAACATCAACAACGACTAAAAGCGAGGTACAAAAATAATAAAAAAATAGGATTAATTTGACTGGTGCTTGAATTTTAAAGTCATTCTCACTTTATTCTTTAAAATTTAAAAACTCTCATTTTATTTTTAAATTTAGAATTATTCCCACTTAATTCATTTTGTTATAATTTGTGTTAAAAATATATTAAAAAAGTAATACAATCACATGGTCTTTCTATTTGAATTTATGTTAAAAACTAACGGATAAAAATCACACGGTCACGTTTAACCCCTTTTTTTATATGTTTTTAATAGAAATTATAATAAAAAGAGTTAGTGAGAATAATTTAAAATTTAAAAAATAAAGTGAAAATTTTTAAAATTTAAAGAGTAAACTGACAATGATCTTAAAGTTCATGGGCTCAATGTTAATAATCCAAAAAGACAATCAAATCTATAAAGGACGACAATGTAGAACGGGCAATAACTAGACAATGAAGTCTAACTGAAGCCGATAAAAATTACTAAAACGATGCGAATCGTAAAACTCTACAATCACATGGAAAAAATATATATATACGAGAAGACATAAATAAAACTCTTTAAAAAGACAAAAAAATAAAAGAAAAGGCATACAATCAAACACTGATAAGAACAATTCCCTTCAAAAAAAAAAAAATATATATATATATATATATATATATACACTAACAGTAAAATGACAACAAAGCTACAAATGATGAGAAAATTATTGAATTTAGTTTTAGAGTGTATGTGTGTCTGGAATTTTTTTTTTTTTTTTATCTCTTTTGATTAATATTATTATTTAATTAAAAAGATATTAATTAAGAATAAAAGGTCTCCTCCTTTCTTCAAAAATAAAAACCTACAATATCATGAAAAACGACAACATTTCCAAAAGCCACACAAAAATTCTAAACGACATACAAGCACAAAACGATAACTACCATACCATGGTACGTGAAAGACGAGAACAATTTCATAAGCAATGTTAGAAATAACATGGGACCTAAAAACGACAAAGACCAGAAAACGATATAGAGCTTGAAAATGACAGCAATTACAGCAACGATAAAGCTAAAAAAAACGACACAAAATAACAACATTAATTAGATATATTAATAATATGACATAGGCTTTAAGAAGAGTGGTAACCAGGGAAAAAAATAAAAAAATATAAAAAATATAAAAAAAAATTTAAGAAGAGTCGCTCTTATCATAAAAGCAAACAATGACATCATTCGGATTAGCGTAGTGGAACAAGCCTACACGTAACAATCTTGGCAACAAAAAAGGCCAAAAGAAAAAAAAAAAGGTACACGTAACAACTAAACAAGGAACATGAGACGTGATCAATTCCTCAGTTTCGCGGGCTGATCCAGGACGCCAAGATTTTCACGCAACTTTTCTTCTTCACTGGCCACGGCTGAGCAAAGGATACTAGTAAGTTTGTCCTCGTTCAATAATCACCACCACTCGTTTGTGTACTTGAAATGCTCTGTGTTCTGATGGCCGAATGAGTGGATAAATAAATACACACATTTATTTACTTTTTTATGAATATTATAATTCTACACGCATTAAATTTTCTTTTCATTCTAATTTGTTTTCACAAAAACAACTGGAGTTTAAAGGGTAATTAATTAGAAGGGGGGATTATTAGTATCATTCTTTGTTTGACATATACATTCTATTATCTTATTTATTGTTTAAATAATAATATATTATATTAATAAAATTTACGTGTTAAATAATAAATACAAAGTGACTTAAATAATATTTATTTGTTTCTTTAATAAAAAGAAAAAAAAAAAAGTGTAAAGGATATGGATGAATGATGATAAGTAACATCCACTCTGTCTCCAAGCAAGTCAAATTCGACGGATAACATTCGCTTAGTTAAATTCTATTTAATTATGTACTTAAAAAATTATACTTATATTCTTGATCTGTTCAGATGCGCCCAGTTTCAGTGAACTCAACAACCAAAACATTTGACCTTCGCGAAATCAACTCATTTTAAGCCAATCAAATCCTGACCCATCCTTAAGACAAGTAATCCGTACTAAAAGCACTTTTTTTTTTTTTTTTTTTTTAAGGAAACAATTTTAACAATTTATGTACTAAAAACTTTTTTTCATTTCAGAGTCGAATTATAATAAACTATTCGCTAATTCAAGTAACCATCATTTCTTCTTCTTCTTCTTCATTGATTTCGTTGTCTTTCGAAAGCTTTAGGAGCGAATATGCAGAGGCTCTTCTCGTCAAGCTCAAGGTTGGCTTCAATTTTCAGCAGACGCAATCAATTTGCTCCTTTTTCCACTGCCTTACTCTTCGACGATACTCAAATACAGGTCTTCATATTCTTATGCACTTTCCAATATAGATATATATATATATACACACACACACACATAATATATAATATATATTTCTATATATTTCTATTTTTGTGTTTTATGTTTTTTGTCGTTTGATGTTTTGATTCTCACAAGGTGAGTTCTTTTTCTTTTTTTTTTCTGTGAGTTCACGGTAATTGCACCTTAGATAATTTTGGTATTGAAAATTTCTATGCCCACTGCTGAAGATTTGAATGAAGAAATTTCACCACTGTATTCCGCATTTTTGAATAAGCTGATAAGTTTATTCTACCTTATATTTAGGACAATCAAATGAGCAGGAAAATAAAAAAATACGTTATTTAGGTGTACAAGGGAGAATAAAATGGACAAAAATCTGATCTTGTAATGAATGAAACCTGTATATTGACAATTCTCTAAAACTTTTTGAAGACTTGATAGCTTTTAGTCAAGATCCTAGAACACAATTTGGCTTGCCAATGACTTAATGGATTACTAAGCTGTTTATGTTTTTGGGGAAAAAAATAATAATTAAATAGGTATTTTGGTTTTCAGTGGTTAGAGAGGCCTTCTGATTTGATCACATTAGCACACATAACTAAGAAGAATTCAGAATATGTTCCGAAAATGAAAAATTTCTACTACCCTGTCTGTGAATATCTACTAGAGGAGAGGAGTACATGAGTCTTCTGTTGTAAGAGAATTGTGTTGCTTTATTTATTCGATGACAATTTTTACATTGTGATTTCAGTTTAAAGAAAGTGTGTTTCAATTTGTACAAGAAAAGATCGCACCACATGCGTCAAAAATAGACCAAACAAATTCTTTTCCGAAGGTACATGTCTGACATTCTTTGTCGTAATTATTAAAAATTTAAAATGTTTTAGAAACTGACCGTTTGGTTCTGATTCCAGGATGTTAACTTATGGAAACTCATGGGAGAGTTTAATCTTCATGGAATTACAGCACCTGGTAAAGTTGTCATGATGACACAAAAGAGTTTACCTTAGTACATTATAAAATTTAGTGAGAGCTTTGCTTGTTCTCCTCTTCAGAAGTCCAGTTTATTTATGATTTGTTAGCAGAGTTGGAAATAACCAGGGATGAATAGAAAATGGAATTGAAAAAAAAAAAAATTATTCTTTCTTCCTTCAGTACAGTTGGCTTGAGGAAGTTTCTAACTTTTAATTGATGGAAATAACAAAACTTAGTCACCTAGCTTAATGAGGAAGAGACTTTCGTGCACTTCATATTTGACTCTTGGTTCTCTTGTAGAGGAATATGGAGGACTTGGTCTTGGTTACTTGTACCACTGTATTGCTTTGGAAGAAGTTAGTCGTGCTTCAGGGTCCGTTGGCCTTTCCTATGGTGCCCATTCTAACCTTTGCATTAATCAGCTGGTAAATAGGAGCTCTGAATTGCATTTTCCATGATATTCTCACTCTTTGTGATGAGTTTTAGCCCTTCACTTTTATTTGTTTGTCTGGCTAGGTGAGAAATGGAAACGCCGCTCAGAAACAGAAGTATTTGCCAAAGGTTCTACTTTCACCTTTTTGATGAGTTTTAGTTTATGAAACATGATGAACTCCACTTATTTATTTATTTTTTAAAACTGCATTGATTCTTTTGTCCACAATGTGCGGTTCTTGGTTTTTCAAATCACTTATTCAATTTCAGAAAAGCAAAGAAGTTTCAATACGTATAAGGAGTTTCTTTTTTCTTTGAGTCCTCTTTGATGAACACACTGTTATGTTTATTTTAAAGCTTATCAGCGGGGAGCATGTAGGGGCTCTTGCAATGAGTGAACCCAATGGTACCTTATTCGAAACTGTCTTCTTATATTTTGTAGAAAATTTAAGTACTCCCTGCATTTTCTTAATGTCTTAGATTTTTTTTTTCTCCAGCTGGTTCTGATGTTGTTAGCATGAAGTGCAAGGCTGACCGTGTAGATGGGGGTTATATTCTAAATGGGAACAAGTTCTGGTGCACCAATGGACCAATTGCTCAAACACTGGTATATTTGTTAGATTTGCTTCCATTTTATCACGCATAGATGTCCCTGCTGTTTTGCTTTCATTGATACCGCTGCACAGTTATACATTTTTTATTGATGTTGTCTGTCAACACACACACACACGCACACATATAGATTGCATTGTATTATTCTATACTTGTTAGAACTGATATTTGGAGGTGAATCAGATTGTTTATGCAAAAACAGACATAAAAGCAGCCTCAAAGGGAATCACAGCATTCATTATTGAGAAGGGAATGCCAGGGTAATTTATCTTTGCTGAAATCGGGAATTCATATAAATAAGAATTAGTATTAATTTCAGACTCCTAGTTCAAATGGGGTTAAGTCCTAAGGAAGATGGATATTTGAATTTTAAGTAGCATTGTGAAATTCCTCATTTTTATTGAGTTGTTGAACTGGTCCTGCAGATTTAGTACTGCTCAGAAATTAGATAAACTCGGCATGCGGGGCAGTGATACGTAAGTCTGTAAAATTATATAATGGTGGAGTCCATTCTCTTTCTTTCTTTATTCTTCTAAGCATGCCACTGGTCTTGTGCAGATGTGAGCTTGTGTTTGAGAATTGCTTTGTACCGGATGAAAATATTCTTGGGCAGGAAGGAAAAGGTCTAGCAACTCCACTCTCTCAATTATTTCTTCTTCAACAGATAATTTGGTTGATTAAGATGTATAATAAAGCAGATGATGGCATGATATGTTTCACTTGTTCTGTCGTTTACATTTGCAATTCTATTGAAAAGGTTGTTGCTTTATGGATTCTGGTTTAACTACTTGGAAAAAGCTTACACATTTTTTGACCGCACCACTGTTATTTTCCGTTTCTTTCAGGAGTCTACGTTATGATGTCAGGGTTAGATCTGGAGAGGCTTGTTTTAGCAGCTGGGCCCCTGGGAATCATGCAGGCATGTCTTGATGTTGTCATTCCTTATGTTCGACAGAGAGAGCAGTTTGGCCGCCCAATTGGGGAATTTCAGTTCATACAGGTTCATGATTGATTTATAGAACCTCTAGCTGATGTTTGCGATGTCCATTTTGGCCTTCGTAGAGTTAATTGATTCTGCAATTACAGGGAAAAATTGCTGACATGTATACATCTTTACAATCTTCAAGGTAGATGATTTTGTTATTTTATACTCTTCTTTTATGTTTCTGGACTTCAGAATGCATAGCATTTAGCTGTGTTTATACTTGATATGGGCATGTATATCCACCCGAGTGTTTTTATGTTTGTTTTCAGGTCCTATGTGTATTCTGTGGCTAGAGACTGTGACAATGGAAAAGTGAACTCTAAGGTTGGCCAGGCTTTTGGAAATTGGAATTCTTTTTTAGCTTGTAGCTCTGACTTTTTTGGTTAAACAATAATTCTAGTTGTATTCATTTTCACTTCAGGATTGTGCTGGAGTAATTCTATGTGCGGCTGAGAGAGCCACGCAAGTTGCCTTGCAGGTGAATAAATTTTACCGCCGCCTCAATTTTGTCTCTTGTTTAATTAGAAATGCTCTTTTTAAAAAACAGTGATCCGTCTTAAACAAGGACGAAAGTGTGCTTAATCTAAAGAAAATAATTGTGGACTACATAAATCATGTCCTACTCAAGTTTTTGACTTTAAACGATAAAATTATTGCTCATGCTTTTCTGTCTGAGATATTTATATTACTTGACCATTTCCAAAGTGTTGGTGATTTGTGCCATTCTCTCTCAAGATCATATACCATTACAAGTATTTCTGTTTTGCTTTCTCTGTAAACTTTACTACCCTTGACAAGCCTTTTCTCTCCTTGCAGGCTATACAATGTCTAGGTGGTAATGGCTATGTAAATGAGTACGTAACTGGCCGTCTTCTTCGCGATGCGAAACTTTATGAAATCGGGGCAGGGACTAGTGAAATTAGAAGGATAATAATTGGTCGTGAGCTCTTCAAGGAGCAGTGAGAGGCAAGCTGTATTTATTGGGTGAGTGGAGTGAAAACCTTGCAGGGTTACACCACAGCTTCTAGGCTATTTGCATCTGTTGTGGTCAGTGATTCACCTTGCTTGTCTAATAGAATGTTAACACAGCAAAAACAGTGCTTCTGATTTGTATGATGGACCAGAAAACATAAACTGGTCCATCCATTTCAAAGAAAAATGCCCTTGAAAGAAAATAGAATGTGGGTTTTAGTTGAATCCCTCGTTTTCCATTTCTTTTATAACTTTTCCCCCTTATTTGTTTGAGAGTAGGTTAAATAGAGTTAAAATTGATCTATTGATAGGCAAATATTTATTTGGAGTTGGAAAGCTTTCATCTGAAGTGGAAAAATTGATAAAAAAGGAAGTTAACAACCCGAATTAGTTCAGTTTAGAATTGTAGTGCTAGTATTTGCCTGACTATATTGGAAGCTTGGATTATAGAATGCAAACCCATGATTTATATCCAACAGCAGTCATAGTTACTCAACAAAGTTGACGACGAACGAAAAAACCGAAAGGCCCATAAAGGAGTTTTCACTCGTTTCCTAATATGAAGGCAACTACCAAGTTCAGACTTGAAAACTAATAGATACATAACCAGGTTCTGGAGCAAATTAGATGCATAAGCAGACATAACACACACTACTGAAGACAAACACAGAATTCACTTAAACCCTGATAACAGTTGGAGAAGAATCTGGCTGGCCCACCGATGAAGATTTCGACACTGGAGCTTGTTCCAAACAGCTTTGGGTATCATCACTATTCATCCCACCAATTGTCATCTTCTCCACCTCTTCTCGGGTATATATGTGGATTTTTGAAACCACATCACAAAACTCACTGTGAACAGAAAGTTATCCATATTAGCAAAGATTATCGATGTTAACAAGACTAGTGTTGTAGTTTAGTTCAATTTTTTTGTTTCATTTATGCCTCCCTCAAAAAAAAATTCTGGCTCCGCCACAGAGCATTAGCGAAATATCATTACAACACAATTCATTGTTAGGAGACATGGCTTGTGGCTTCTTTGCTGCTAAGACTAGATTTAATTTATGAACCTTGACAATGCAAGTATGATGTATAACAAGAACTTACTGCCATGGATCATCGCCGACGACCATTACATCATTCTCGCTGTCGGTGTACAAGATTCGCCACCCTTTGTCAGGATCCTTTAGAAGGCCTTCCATGTTGAACAACCACTCTAGTTCACTCTGAAGGTCACCATAGCCGCTGAGTCTCGAGAGGTCAATGGCTCTCCCTACTAAACTGCCTTGCTTGTGAACCTTCGCTCAATATGTTCAACATCAGTCGGCAAAGTAGTGAATAAAAAGGGGGGCAAATTTAATCCAAGTAGGCCACTACTATAGCTTACCTTTGTGCAACTCCTCTTACTGGAGCTCTGAGAGTTTGGGGTGGTAGTTTCTCCGGTTAAGGAAAAACCAAAAAGTTTGCAGCCAGTCACAGTCCCACCGAAATTGTCATCTTTCGGACTCTTAATATTTGCTCCTAAAGTGGGATGAGCAGAAATGTTTTCTTGTGGCTTAAACTCATTTGGTACATTAGGCTTCCCAACTTCGTTCCTTAGAATTCCACTCTGAATCGAGTATGGATTGATATTGACACTCTCTCTTGGGAAGTTGGCGGCATTAGAGAGCGTGGCACAAGGACTCGGCCCTACTCTGTGAATGTCACCATAGGGAAAATAAGTGTTTTGTAGGGATTCCGATGCTAGGGGGAAAAAGTTTGGTTTGGCTGCTGCTTGATAGTTGCTGAAAGAAGTACAACCAAGAGAGGGTTTTGCCCAAGCTCCCAGGTTGATGTTGGTTTTCCCAGTCAGGGACCTTAGTTGGCATATTTCTTGACCTTGCAAGACCTTCGGAAATCTACTCGACTCCACAAAGCCTGCGTAAGTGGTGGGTTGAGCCCTGAGGAGCTCATTCATTGTTGCCTTCTTGGTTGTACTTGATGCAAGATTCTGATGTGCCGGAGGCTGCATATCAAAATCTAGCGGGCGGTTTACAATATCACATCCATACAAGGGTGATATGAAACCTATATTTTCTTGACCTTGCAAGACCTTAGAGGATCTAACCGACTCCTCAAAGTCCAGAAACCCACCCCCTCCTGCTGCAACAATAGTAAGTGAGGATGCATACATAAAAAAAGCAGTGTTTGCTATTTCAATGGGAAGAAATACGTACCGGTAATAGGATTGCTGGGTGGGGTTGCTTGCAGACTTGTCCGCATTTTCTTCAGTCTCGGGGAAGACTGAAAGCTCAAGGGTGGGAGAGAAACCGAAGGGTCGATCTCCCATGGAGAAACTCTCTCTTGATGACTATTTCCAATATCTTCATCCCACCTGACCTGTTAAAACATTACCATAATGGTGTAATTATTTTGTAATAAAGAACAATAAAATCGAAAGAAATGAGTTTCTCACAATTTCTTAAGATAGAAATGCGTATTTTAAATATGTACAAATAAATATAGATATGGTTCAGTAGAATCCTTGTACGTGATTTACTCTGTTTATTAAAAAAAAAAAAAAAAAAAGAATTTTATCCTGGATAAGAATTGGTGCATAAAGGAAGAACTTGTATATAAGGTTCTCGGATGGTTAATACTAAATACGAAAGATTCTTTCTAGATGTGGTTCATCAATCAGCTAGCTTTATGGAAAATTAAGGTAGTAAGGCAGTGCCACAGAGATTATTCATCACATACCAAATCAAGACGAGTGAAAAGGAAAAAAACAGCTTGGATTTAAGATCAATATATGAAGGGAATATAGTCTGTAAGAGCTAAAAATCACACCATCAAGCATCTCCATTTTGAATTGGTCCATCTGTAGGGATCCAAGTCGCATATTCCAGTAACTACACCACTGCACCTGCAAGAATGAGAACTTTGTTTCAATATCATAAGAATATGAAATACTTAAAAAGCCAGTTTATATTGGTTATAAAAACCAGCTAGAACAAGACCTTCTTTCTGGTGAATCTTCCATTTCAAATCTCGTTTTGAATCTTGTCCCAACCGTCACAAGATTTGTGATGCTCTTCACATATTTTTGGTACGGAATGACAAACTCTGCATGAGTTGCCCTGAATTTGGGCATTAAGTTAACAATGTTGTTAGTTTAGTTCACAAGCATAATCCTGCTACGCCAAAAGCCTAGGCATTTTAAGACCCTTTGACACTTTTTTTTTTCCTTTCTTGTGTGTTTCATTTTTTTCAATCAAGTGTGTTGACAAGCGGATATGATAGCAACTAGTGGTACACTACCTTGGACTGTAGAAAACATGAAACATGCTCTTGGTAGATACTGCATTAGCCACAAGGGAAAGAACGTTGGGATAAGAATTCTGGTTGCGAACAATTGTATCAGGAAGGCCATTTCGCGGTCGAATGGCTCTCCTGATTCCCAATCTCAGCTCTCCATTTTCACCCCTAAAAAGACCATTGCAAATGAGTTTGGAATCTTAAAGACCATATGATGAAAAAAAAAAAAAGAAACAGAGAGAGAGAGAGAGCCATTTAGATGCCAATTGAAAACAAATACCCTTCACTATTCAGACACCATGTTTAACCTCCACAAAGAATAACGTAAAGAATAAAAATATATATATATATATATATTACAAGTAAAAGCAACACTTTTTACACCCCAAATTGTGCTAATAGTCCCTACTTTGCAAGTTCATGTTTACAGAAAACTCAAGTAGAAAAATTTTCCTAGTACATTATAAAACTATATATGCCTTATCTTTCGTTATTTTTTACGACGTAAAGGATGAAATATGCCTACAATTTAGACAAAGAAACACACTGGTACAAATGCTCTTGACTTTCAAATGGAACTAAGAGATATACATAAAACATCTATACCTCAGAAAGAGCACTGCATCTCCAGAGACTAGATTCTTTTGGTTTACAAAAACACTCCATCCAGTAGTAAGCAGATGTCTCCTTGGCTGACCTGAAAAATCATACACGAGACAAACCCAGTTATAAACATTCTTTTCATCAATCAAACCACAGCACACCATTAAATTCTATGCAAAACTACCTCTATAAATATGTCGAAACCTCCACTCTACCCCATGCAGGTCTTTTGCAACAAGTTCTTGGGAGGGCCTCCTCTGCTTATAATCCTTCAAAAGAAGAAAATTATAGGTTAATAACCTCATACAAATACAACGCTTTAACAGTCTAGAACCGACAAATTAAAATTTTCTATAGCTGATGAAATGGAGAGAATAAGTGCTTTTCTCACCAGTGGAGGGAAACAATCTTCTGCAGCTCGGCGCGGAACAGAGAACCCTCCATGTGTACTGGTGTCAGAAGCAGTAAGAGTTTTGCAGAACATATGTGGGGTTGATTTTGTAGGTGGTCCTCCAACCCCTTCATCACCTCCCAGCTCTTCAAGCTCTTTGCCTTCTAATTTCATTCCCACCAACTATAATATTACTCAGAACCAACAAAAGAAGGAAGAAAAAAGAAAGAAAAAGAAAAACCATTTAGAAATACTCCATCACCATATCATCATCATCATCGTCGTTAAAAATCCATTTAGAATAAAGTAATATTCCAAGAGCAAATTCAATAGTCCAAAGCAATAAGAACCCAAGGAAGACAAACGGAATATATCTCCCACAAAAACAAGTACTGCTTTTCTATTTGCATTTATCAGTTCTTTTTTTTTTTTTTTTCTTTTTCACTTGCTCAATCAAAGTGAAGAATGAAAAGAATCCAATCACACATACCTCAGGCTGAGGAAGCAGAGTAACATGGGTATAGACCTCATCATTCTCCTTATTAGCCTGTTCCATGGAAAATTCAAAGACACACATATGGAAAATTCACAGCAACCAAATTAAACCCCAAAAACAAAGGAAAAAAAAATGATGATACTCACAAGTAGTTGGACATTAACAACTTTGCAGAAGATCTGTGGTTGAAGATCAAAAGTGGGAATCTCCATGGGAGAAAAGGGAGAAGACAAAGAGAGCTGTTCTAAGTGACCTTGCGGGAAGTAGACAACCACATTCCCTTTCTTTGGGAGTGAGGTGAGAGGACCAGCACAGGCATGCCAAAGCTCCAAGTAGATAGAGGAAGAAACTGGAGCTGAAGAGGAATTAGAAGAGCATGAAGAAGTTGAAGAAGACAAACAACAAACACTACAACTACTTTTGTTGTCACAGTCCCCATTGCAGTAACTACCATTGTTGTTGTTGTTGTTGTTGTTGTTGTTCTCAACCTCGGACACTACTACATGGTTCAGATCAATTTCCATGAACTCCAACACCTGAGTAATGCAGTTTGATGATTTCCCAACTCAAAAAAAGAAAAAAAAAAGTTGGGTTTGTGAGAGTTGAGAGTTTTGAATGAGGTCAAGAACTCAAACTATCATGGAGATGGGAGGAGAGACATGTTTTTGTTTGGAAGAGAGGAAAGAAAGAGTGGGGTTAAAACTTAAAATAAAAGGGTATTAATCAAATAAGAACAAGGAATTCAAAGTGTGATTTGGATTGATTCATATCCACCTCCATTTGGAGGTACTGAGAAAAGGGAGCAGGAGGAGCAGCAGCAACAGGCACAGACAATTGCATAGGAAGCACAGAAAAACAAAGGGTTGAAGTGAGAAAAGGAAAAATATATGTAGAGAAAAAAAAATAAAAGAAAAGAAAAGTAAAAGGCCAATGTGGTGATGCCTTTTGGAGTTTAGAGAGAGAAAGATAGTGTGAAAAAAGGAGAGAGAGAGAAAGACTGTGTTGGGTGGGGGGGACAGGCTAAGACAGTACATAACCTACACTTCCCCATCCTCCGCAGGCCAGGCCACACCACACCACAACCCCTCTCTCACTCTTCTTTGTTTTGCTTTGCCTTTGCTTTATCTTTTTTTTTTTTTAAAGATAAATAAAAAATAAAAAATGGTAATTTCCATTAACTGTTTTGCTTTAGTGAGGCCCCCAGAAGACAAAAGAGGTGTTTTTTCATTTAATGCGGACGTTAACAAGACATGTACCTCTTAACAACATTAAAAATCTCCTTTTTTTTTTCCCCTCTTATCAACAATATCAAAGAAAACATTACTATCCAAAAGAAACTGTAGAACCTAAATTTTATGATTTATTTTATTCGTTTTAATCGTATACTTTGTTACACTTTTTTCTCTCTGGATTTTTTATAGTATTTTTTTTATAACGTTCGTATTTTTTATTTATTAATCATTAAATTTATATTAAAAATTAAATTAAATTAAAAAAATAATATAAATTTGACGGTTAATGAGTATGAAATACCATGTTTTTGAAAAAGAATGAACGGCAGATAAATACTCCTTCTCTTTTTGTTGTTTTGTTTTATTTTTTATGTTTTTTATGAATAGGTCTAAATGGTTAGAACAGATTTTCAGAGGAGTGATAGAATTGTTCCTATGTAGAACGTGTATTTAGCTGCTTCTAACTATGATTAACTATATTATGTTGAGAGGACGAAGTTACCTCAAGTGAACCTAACTTATATTTACTCTTAAGGTACAGATATGTATGAGAAATAATGTTCCAATGTTTAAGCATCTAATTAGTGCATTTAATCATGTCCTCACCTAAAGTCCTTAAATTCCGCAATAACCTCAACTAGCTGACGTCCGATATCACATTAAACCCAACTCCCATCAATCTTAACATTTGGTGCATTAACTGATGTAACGGAACTGTGCAAAATAAGGTGTAAAAGGGTGAGAAAGAAATTGGCCAAATAATATTAACATAATCTTTCGTCAGTTACGGGGGAGCCGTGTAAAAAGACTAGGAAGTTAGGGGTAAGCGGTAAAAAGACTACGAAGTTAGGGGGTAGACGAGACAAAAATTCCGTTCATTCTATCGATTTGATTTTAAAATTTAAGTTTTATTACAGTAAAAAGTAATAACATAAAATCACGATATTATAATAGTAAAATTTGTATCATGTTCTGGTTGTTAGACATTAGTTTTGTACACTTTCACGATGAGAAACATTTTGATGAAATATAACTACCGTAAAAAGCTCTTAATAAAAATAATAATTAGTAAATATAAAATGGGAAAGAGAGAGAGAGTTGTCGATGAGAAGAGTCATTGAGGGACCCTGGAGACTGGAGGGGCTTTTGGCAGCAACTATGGTGGGCGTGTTGCTGTTGGTTGTTGGGACTCAGTGACTCGGAGACTCCTCACTCACTAACAGTCACAGCCCACAAAGCCACAGGCAAAATCCCCTTTATATCTAAGGTCTCATCAATTATCTCTCTTTCTTTTCATATTCTGTATGCCTTTCCCACTCCATTACTTTGGCGCGTGACCACCCATATCATAATATGTCGTTTTCTGAAAAAATATCACCAAAGAAACTTGGTTGAGTTTTAAGTCACGGTAGGGAGTCACTGTGCTAACGACATCAATAAAGTTAGTAAAACAAAGACAAGAGTAATGTGCCCATGTAGGTAGTTGTTACATGTTGAGGAATGATAAATGATTTCATTTTCATGGGCAATGGAGATCGGAGAATATGAATTTATGTTACATGGCACCCATACTAACAGTTGCAAAAGGTCCCACTTATTTCACCGATTCGAGTTTAAAATTTAAGTTTTGTTACAGTAAAAAGTTCTCATAAATAGTCACATCTAACTTTTTTATTACAGTAAAAAAATCTTACATAAAATTATATCTCAACTCGAATCAGTGAACTGTCAAACATAACATTAAAATTTCTTTTACTTGAGAAACGGTGAATTTAAAATAAAAAGATTTTTGTTTTCTTTTGTTTTGTTTTTTAGATTAATGATTTCTCCTCAATCCAAGTTGAGTTTTCTACCATTATATATGTGAGTGTATAGGAAAAACAATCTCCTCTAATGGAAATTATGATTTCTAATGTACTGAAGTTTCATTGGAATGTATAGCACACAAAGCCAAGATATTAATCCTTTTCCATTTTTATAAGCCACGAGGCAGAGCATTTTTGTTTGTCAAAAAGATCAGCTGCCTTTTGAAAAGAATATATATATATATATATATATATAATGTATTCTCAAGTGATTATAGAGGGATTAGGATTTTATATTCAATTTTAGTCTCTTAAATATATCTAACAAGCCTCACTTTCTAATCTTACAGATCTAAAAAATCTTGATATCACACTTTTTGAATCTAATTTGAAGAATTCCTCTCCATCCTGCAATTAATGAGCCAAATCATTAATCTTCATTTTAAGAATTTGTTTTAATTATTTAATTATTTATTTATTCCATTTTAAGTAAAATTCTCCCTTCATTTATGCTTGATAGTTGATTCTAATAACTAGGTACTGAAGAACTCGCATTTATCTATCCATAGTACTATCAATAAAAAATAGTATGAGAGCATTTTTTTTTTTTATATAATATTTGAATTATTTTTTATTTTATTTTTTATAAAAATAGGCGAGTGTGGAGGGGAAGCAATAGTGAGGAGCGTGGAGGGAGAAAGGTGATGACACGGAAGAGGAAGAAGGCCTGCGTCTTTGGCGCTGCTCCGTTGTCCCGTTTTACATTACATTCTCTCCCTCGGTACTCCCGATTCCCTTTTACCCTCCATTTTCATCTTTATTTACAAACATATCCTTCTCATTTCTAATCTTTTTTTTCTCTCTCTATCTCTAATGTCTCAGACTGACACATGCAGCGCACGAGCATTTACAAAGCTGTTCCCTCTCTCCTCTTTCCGACTTATTATAGTTGCGACCCTCTTATCATTCTCAATAGACTCCCTCTATTATGATTCCTTTTTTCTTTTTGCCTCAAAATCTTTGACAATTCCATTTCACATCATTGCTTCCAAATAAGGAGGTGGTTGTGCATAATTTTGTACGAGTAAAATAATTTCATGACCAGTCAAACTCGCTGGTATAATAACACAAGTAGTGCTGAAATTTTGGACGGGCCGCCCGCGACCGCCCGAAAAGCCCGATGATTTGCCTGAGCCCGAACCCGACCCGCTTAAGATTTTCGGGCCGCCGCCCGACCCCGAATTTCACCTTAAACGGGCCGCGGGCTTGTATTCGGCGGCCCGAGCCCGCCCGAATTGCCCGATATATATATATATATATTATATTTATATATATATATTACAATTTGAAATGAACACACGAACTCGGGTTTTTGGGCAGAATTCGGATAAAAATTCAAAAAAAAATAGCCATTTTCGGGCAATTCGGGCAACTCGGGTTTTCGGACAAAATTCAAAAAAACTAGCCGTTTTCGGGTATTCGGGCACCTCGGGCGGGTCAGGCAATTCGGGCAAAATTCAAAAAAAAGTTCAAAAATCGGGCTTCGGGTCGGACAATTCGGGCACGCCAAATTTCGGGCAATTTTCGGGTCGGGCAGTTTGGGCTTGGTCAGAAAATTTCAAAAAAATCCCGGCGGACGGTAGTATACGGTGGTTAGACGGTGGCAGGCAAGGGTGGACATGTCAAATTCGGGCTGCCCAAGCCCGAACCTAAATTTCTTGCTTGGGCGGGCGGGAATTGGGCCGGCCCGCCCGAGCCCGAAAAAATTCGGGCTTCGGGCGGCCCGCCGACCCGAAGTACCAGCACTAAACACAAGTAAGAAACGAAAAGAAAAGCACCGTGATTTATTTTTTAAATAGTATCTGAATAATTATATTATGATACGTTATTTAAAAAATTTAAGATATTTCTTATTTGATTTTATATGTTTTAATGTTTGAGTCTATTAGATAACGCGATGCAAGATAATTAACCGGCCACACTTTATTTTTATCACATTAAAATTGAGCGGGAGATTTCAACCCTCTTTTACAATGGATTTTTTTTTTCTCCAAATATAAATGCAAATTAATCAACGAAATAATAAAGGTTATATTGATCTAATGTGCGACAAAATTTCAGTGTTGTTTAGTAAAACTTTCCATGTCGATGTTTTTAATAGGAGAATTAAATAAAGAATAATACTAGAAACTGCAATCTGCAAGCGGATAGATGTTTTAATTACAAATGGAAAGTGCAGTCCAATCATGTATTTATTGGACTCAACTCTACCCATTCGAGTTTTTTTTTTTTTTTTTTTTTTTTTTTCTAAGGGATTCTAGTTCTCTTTATTATTATTATTATTATTATTATTATTATATGGTTGTAGAATTACATAACAATTTGTTTACTATACCTGTTTTTTTATTTACAATAATGTGAATTGGAATTAGACCTTTTCCTCGGAATCTCAAATATTCACAATACAACAATTTTATAGAAAATAAATTATATAACAAACAACGTGATTCATGTAACTCCTGCTGTAGTCAAAGCAATCTATGCAAAAACATATTCTTGACTAATAACGTGAATTATTGGTGGAGCATAATTTTATTCCAAGTACCATAGAAAAATCCAGACACTTGGACAATCATAGAAAATAGCAGATATTTCCTCGTTACTTCATATATACTATAATTTGACCATATATAATCTTTTCTGATAATTTCTATTTCGGGTTTCAAATGTGTTTGTGTATATATATATATATATGTAGAAGGAGATTCTATTCCATGAGAGGAATGAAATTGCTGTTGGCCATACAGATATATAGTGACGATTACAAATGGACAAAAATATGGCAGCACACAGTTTCGTAAATCCCTTTCTACTCGGGAAGACAATTTATTTATTTATTTTTTTTTTTGC